AAATGCCACCTCCTTGCCCCTCCGCACGCCACTCCAGAACTGAGTGGGTGCAAGAGACCGGGGTAGAGAGAGGTGTCTGGAGACATGATGGGTGGAGCATCAGGGAGAGACCTGAATGCGAGTTGAGAGTGTGTCCAGTTGGTTTACATCACCACAGTGTGACCTTTGAGACCTACAGGTGGTTCGAGGAGTCTGGAGACACAACCCCAAAATTCACACACACACACACACATACACGCACTCACACAATCATACACACACACATTCACATTTACATAAAGATACATGAAAAAGCAGAACATGAGAAAAAAGCATTTTAAAAGTTTACTCCAATGTAAACAAACATTTTTAATTGTCTATCACTTGAATCTTTATTTGATTTTTTTGAGACCAGAAATGTTCATTTGAATTCTATATTGTCATGGACTTAATTGACCTCTGTCTTGACATTTTTTGTTTTGATTTGTTGATTTTGTGCTGTGTGAAGTAATTACATTGATTAGATCTAAAAAAAAAAAACACAAATTAGAGAAGTAAACTGAATCATTGCGCTTGCTTTTACCTGAGGGACATTAGCAACAGCATGAATAGAAATTGTCTTTAAAGTAGAATCAAAATTACTTAACCATAGAGAGTAACTATTGCATAACAAGCTGTGTACAGGAACTGTGACACTGCACCTCCATTGACCAGAAGTGCTTCTCAAATGACCTGATGTGCGATTCAAGTGAAAAGATTGTATCTGGAGATCCGATGTCCATCTGGAGAGACACTATCCTGGCTTGGACCCTACTGATGTCCAACATGACATCTCTCGAAATATGACCTGACCTGATGACGACTGAGACTCACCCTCAGGGGACCCTGAGGACCTGAGAGAGAAAAACTGGGGAGTGATGTTTATATTTTTAAAATCATACCATTGATGAGTGCTAAATGAGACAGATACTCATGATTCTTCTTTTGTTTTTGTTTGTCCCTAGCTTCTGGACATCTGATGATCTATTGAACACAGCCATTTGCAGTACAAGAACCAGCCAAAAATCGTCTATTGCCAATGCTATTGCACCAACCAGAACCACAACTGTGACCAAACGCAATATATGTAAAGTATTCAGACATCTGACAGACAAAAATGGAGCTTCGCAAAGGTTCACTCTGGTAGACTGATTGCCAAAGCTATCCCCTCCAAGCCTGCCTCTCATCCTCGGCCTATCGCACAGCAAACGGCCATTCTCAGCCAACGCCCATTCCCAGCCAACCTATGCAGGCCAGGCAAGCAGCTTAAAAGCGGAGACTCCCACTTCACGGCCTTCTCAAGCCTCGCAAGGAGTCGTTCTGGAGGAATCGCTGTCGTCTACTCACGCTTACTCGTGAGTGCCCCTGCTGTCCTCCGTCTTGCTGCTTGTGATCTGCTCCTCCTCCGCGTCGCTGCTCCTGCTGCGGGTCTCGCGCCGTGGTCTGTGGGTCTTTGCCGCTCTCCTCTTTGCGGGCTCCTTCTGCGGGTTTGCCGCTGCTCGTCTCGCCTAGCTGTTTTGACCCAGCGCACCGGGCTGCAGGCTGGCTGTTTTTGACCCCGCGCTCTTGACTGCAGGCGGGCTGTTGATTCCCCGAGTGCTGGTTGCATCGTTTCTGGGCTGATCTCGGAGAACGTGATAAAGCACGGAGTGGTGCAATGTTTCCCCTTCGTACTGGCGCAGACCGTCTCGCACTTTGTTAGCAGTCTGCGTTTCGGGGTCCACTGGAAGATCTCGTGCTCCTGGTCACATAAGGGACTGCGCTGACTCTGGTTCGTCTTGCTCGGAGAACGTGTTCTCAACTTTCGTTCCGACTGTGGCGGGGGGGTCTCCGTGGACCGGGCTCGCAACGTGGCCTCTCCCGCAAAGCGGTACCGTGGACCTCTTCGACGTGGCAATGATAAAATTTCATGCTTGATGGGTCCTTCAAGAAACATGCAAGGGCGCGAATGAGGAAACAATCCTCGAGCTGCTGGTCATTGCCGCTGCAGTTTCCAAAAAAAAAAATAAGATACTGGGCGGAATCTGGTCTGTTCATGCCGCGGGTCGACCTGGCTGCATTTCATACGCTGCAACAGTTTGTCTTTTAGGTGCCGTTGGGCCATGTGAGGCGGGCCTTCCGTCGAAGCTGGTGTCTCCTGATGTCCTAGCCGTGCTGTCCTTGGAGCCTGGTTCCTTCGTCGCTCCGTGCTGTGGGGCCAGTCCCGGCTCCCGTGAGGCCGCCGTTCCGAGGGGCTTTCTTCCGCGCCTTGCTCAGCGCCCAAAGAATTTCCCTCGGAACCTCTCCTCTGCCCTCCACAAAGGTCCAGTAGTCGTGGCCCGTGCGCCTGGAGTCCCATGTTGCAGAGGAAAAGGATCTCTGTGATGTCAACAAGCTGGACGTCGTAGAAATCTAAATAAAGGTCCTTCTTCCTCTACCCAAGATTCCTTCTCAGACAAATCACACGGCTCTCAGTCTCAAACATCTCCATCACTGCACGACACGTCCCTGGTCACTTTAACTGCATACTGACTGTCTCTCTCAATTTAAATCCCAGGAATTCCAGCGCCTAGGCTACATGATGCCATGCGAGACCCCCGCCATGGAGTTCCCCGCCTTGGACTAGTCCCACCTTCTCTTCGTCTTCTCTTCTTCGTACACGAAAATGGGTCTTTCGCATTCTACGCTCATAACATTCAGCTTCGCCGGAAAGTCTACTCCCACTTCTACTACTCAGACAACATTCCTCTACCTTGCCTGCTGTTCACACAATCAGTGCTTTCATAGTTCACCGTGCAGACAATATCCTTCTTACCTCGTATACCTACACTGCTGGCTGGGACCCAATTTCAGACCCGCTGCTACAACCCTGTTCTCTCCTCTCTATTCTCAGAGCTGTCACTCAAACTCCTCGTCAAAGGCACGAGGAGTTTGCTATTACGTAATCTGTCTCCCCATCTCTACACAGCTCACTCCCTTAGGACAGGCGCTGCTACGCGCACGGCGTCTCTGGGTTTCCCCTTCTGCCCTCCACAGCTGGGGCGCTGCTCATCCTCTGCCCTGTTCGTATATTTCAGGCCAGACACTACCACTGTACAGGCAGCCCAGCGCTCCTTGGCATCCCTGTAAGCACTTGCAAATCCATCCTCGTAAGCACTCGCAAAACTTCCTGGTGGTGGCAGCAGCTGTGCCTTTGTTAATAGCGTTGCCTTTATTAATAGCGTTGCCTTTATTTATAGCGTTGCCTTTATTAATAGCTTTGTTTTTATTTATAGTGTTGCCTTTATTAATAGTGTTGCCTTTATTAATAGCGTTGCCTTTATTAATAGCGTTGCCTTTATTTATAGCATTGCCTTTATTTATAGTGTTGCCTTTATTAATAGTGTTGCCTTTATTTATAGTGTTGCCTTTATTCATAGCGTTGCCTTTATTAATAGCGTTGCCTTTATTTATAGTGTTGCCTTTATTAATGGCATTGCCTTTATTAATAGTGTTGCCTTTATGAATAGCGTTGCCTTTATTAATAGCGTTGCCTTTATGAATAGCGTTGCCTTTATTTATAGTGTTGCTTTTATTAATAGTGTTGCCTTTATTAATAGTGTAGTGGTTTACTTTGATTGTCAATAAGAACTTTCACAGGAGCCGAGAATTAAAATTAATATAATGCGTTTATTAACTCAATTAACCATACATGGGGAGACCCGTCAATCCTGCATGGAGCTCTGCGCAGAAGAAGCTCCCCGTCACTCCTTGCTTTCCTTTTTAACTGCTCCTGTCAATACCAAATATGGAATCTTGGCATGGAATCTTGGCTGCGACCGAATAACAGGATCCAGATGTTTCCTTAATGACTATTACCAAACAGAATTCTTTACCGGTCAACAGACAGTGTTCAGGTCAGGCCGACCTAGCGCTTCCTAAACATATCCCAAAAGAACATTCCATTGCACTTAGGAAATCATAATATTTGTCAAACCACATATTTCCCCCCCTTTCATGGCTCCCAGCCATGAATTAAGTTCCTTCACTAACTTTTCCTCAGCCTTAGCAAAGTAGTTACATGAGTTACACAATAATGTCAAACACTTAGTAAATGAGAGTAAATAAGATAACATAACTTTCAAACACTTGATACAAAACAATATCACTCTTGAGTGTAGGCGTTGGCAGAACTTGGCTCGCACTTGCATTGTACATTATTTTGATTAAACATGAACTTAAGATGGACGAGTGGTCAAAAAGTAGGTATACTGTCACAGTCCATGTTCTTTTCATCGTCCAACGAGTCGTCCTCCGCTAACCAGTCCTTGATGGGGAACTGCTCTGGTCGGCTACTCTTGCTCTCCGCATTCAGCACTAACATCTGTCTTGTTACCCCTCGCACCACTACTGCTCTCAATACCGGAATGCAACAGCAGAGGACAAGACTTATTGCCACAATGCAAATAATAACTGGTACTCCAATCTTCACCAACCCCAGTTTCCATGATCCTAAAGTCTGCTGTAGCCAGCTCAGCCAGTCCAACTCTGCATCCCTTCCAGCATTCTTCTTCATCTCCAACCTTAGAGCCTTGATTTTCCCCATTGCCTGTGTGAAAGCTCCTCCTACTCCTGTATGATCGGGAATAAATGTACAACAGTATTCACCCACTAGGGCACAGACCCCTGAGGTCTCTGCCAAAACCCAGTCTAAGGCCTGTCTATTCTGCCAGGCTACAGCACTAGTTGCATGCAACTGCTCTCCCAGGGCTGACATGGCACTATCCGTGTAATTGATGAACTGCTGGAAATTGTAGTAAATGTAGTTTATCCACTCAGTGTTTTTATTTGTAGAGATCCAGGGCAAAATGGATTCAAACCCTGACTTAATTTCAGATCTTGCCTTAAACTCCTCTGGGATCCCTCTAGGCTGCCCAATACTGTCTAAATACACACCAGGGTCTGGTCGGAACGCCCTCTTCACCCTCTTACTACCACTTGTTTCCTCCCCCTGTGGGAAAACAATGAGCTCCTGCACCACCTGCACTCTGGCGCATCTTCCGGACCAGTTGCCTGGAAGAACAGGAAACAGTAAGTACTTGGCCTCCACACCACCAAAAGTGATCGGAGAGAGGCGTTACCTGACTATGGAACGGGCATGCAGGGACATACAGTCTCCAATTGGGGTCCCTTAATCTGGACAGCTCGCTTCAGGGTAGACTTATTACAGTTGGCATTTACATTCCAGATGCTACTACACTTAGTTGCCTTGACTTCCCCCAACCTTACTGACCCTGTCTTTTCTATGCACTCGTACCCGCCCACAGGAAAGAATGCCACACCTCCCGGGGTCCCCATTTTTGCGCTCTGCATGCTTACTCTAACGTCTATCTCTGCACAGCGCTGAGTGTTTGTTTTACCTTTGTGCATAAACTCAACCTGCTCTTTGTACTGCGGGGTTCCCAAATACAACAGGCACTCCGCTTTACACCATACGCGCAGCGGGTCATTCTCTCTTACTGCTGTGTCACTACACTCCTTCCAACTAAACACAGTATTAAAAAGGAACAAAGGATCGGCCCTTGCCTTTGTACAAACGTAGCAGTCAGTCATTCCATTCGTCCGGCCTGCATACTGAACCCACTGATACCAGCTGTTATACTCTGCGCGATTTAGTAGTCTATCTGGCTCTACCTCCTCGGTCTCATCACCTAGCCCTGCACCAATTCTCGAAACAAAACCTCCAGCCGCCTGTCCTATCCCAGCCACCGTCCTGTGAAACCAGTCCGTCCAATTTAGGTTAGTCTTAACCACGTCACTGATCTCTGCAGTTTTTAAATTCATTCTATCACCGTCATGTTTCTCCATTGAGTTGTCTCTCCGTACGTCAGTCACCAGTACGTCAGGATTTCGGTTTTGGCCATCCGGGACTATCCGGTCAGCCCTACTCTGTCCAGTCAGGTCAGTGTCTGCCTGATCATTCTGATTGTCCGCTAGGCGAGCTATGTCAAGGTTGGTAGGGTTTTTCTGCTGTATTTGGGCTCCAGCATCAGTTTTGTCAGTCAGTTCTGGTGAGTCCATCAGTCTCTTTTGGATGGGCAGCTCCTTTTTTTCCAGTCCAGTCATTTAGTTCTGAGGGCTTCAACAGTCTCTCCTGAATCAGTGAATCTCAAGAAGCAATTTCAGTCCCACGTTCTGTGTGTACAGTTCCTTCATTATGTCCTGTTTTGTCTGGGCTGGCGGGTAAGTCCACCCGCATGCCTTGGTCCACAGTCATGTGGTCTTTTTCCTCCATCTTTATAACAGTCTCGTCTTTGTAGCCCGGAGGGTTCAATTTAACTTCACGTTCCTCAATTCCAGCAATGAAAAGCTTGGTCCATCCCACAAAGTATCCATCCATCCATCCATTTTCTTCCCTTTAATCCATTTCTGGGTCAGCTGCCACCCAAGTCTCATAGCACCAGCCCCTCACTGACCCTCTGCAGGTGGTGAGTCCACAGGAGGACGGCTGCTCTCTGAGTGTGAGCATAGCCTTGATCTTTCAGTGGGGGCTTTGGGCAAAGTGGGGTTAAGTGTCTTGCCCAAGGACACAACGACAGCAGTCATCAGTGGGAGTCGGTGGAGAAGGTGCAGAGGTGGGAATTGAACCCACGACCTTCTGGCCTTAAGGCCAATGCTCTACCAACTGAGCTACTGTCGCCCACAAATTATGTCAGTGGTAATTGTCCTTTCAGTGGGTCAAATTCCACCCGTACTAGCCACACATCGCCTTTTTCCTTTATGGCAATACCACAGTCTCTTTCACCCCACGTTGACCTAATCATCTTCTTTCTCCCAAGTGACCAACCGATCCCACACAGTCGATAGTCAGAAGTTTTCACATAAACATTGAACGTGGTCATGTCATCAGTCCAGATCATAAGGGGCATTTGGGCAGTCCAGCTCACGTCTTCTTTGTATGTTCTACTAGGGTCTGTGTACGACCAATTGTCTTCTAGTGGCCATTTATCGATTGCTCTTCTATGTCTCTCGGCCAGTGGGAGTTCCTGTCCCTTCCACCAGGATGACGGCAGGGAACTCAGCGGTACTATCATTGTCATTACCAGCACCACGAGGCTCCTCGTCCCCCCCTTCCAAGGACTCGTCGCCTTGGCAGCCATGGTCATTCTTCTCCTTTTCCTTTATGGTCTTTTCCTTGTTGCCGTCAGCCGGGGCCTTGACGCAGTGGTTCAGGTGGTACCACGTCGGCGATCCCTTCACCTGCACCGCCGTTGACGTCGCGTTCACGACCTCGTAGGGACCTTCCCTCCGTGGAGTATGCCACTTCCGTCGGAAGGTTTTCACATAGACCAGGTCCCCCGGCTTCACTGCAGGTGGCACCTCCTCCTCCTTTGTCTGGCTCTGCACAGAGTTAATACGAGCAAAAATACTCCTGTGGATGTTAGACAACTGTTTCACATAGGATTTCATGTCATTTGTTAACACATCAATAGGGGGGCCCTTAGCAGCTCTGTACACCGGTGATGGCATTGGCCGACCAGTGAGCGCTTCATGCGGGGTTAGTTTTAAGCTTCTATTGGCGCTCCCCCTATAGGCCATCAAGGCAAGTGGCAGTGCATCCACCCAATTCAAGCCGGTGTTCATGCAAATTTTTAGTAGTTTGTTTTTTAGTATACCATTCGCTCTTTCAACCATTCCTTGACTCTGAGGATGATAAACACATCCTAACCTTTGCTTGACTCCTAACTTTTGCAACACACATTTTACGGTTTTGTCTACAAATTCCCGGCCGTTATCAGAGCTGATACGTCGGGGAAGCCCAAATCTAGGAAAAACCTCCCTGCACAAAAACTTTGCCACTGTGTCTGCATTCTTATTTTTTGCAGGTAGGGCCTCAATCCATCTACTAAATCTGTCAATGACAACCAACACTACCGTTTACCTTGCACTGGTCGAATCATGTCAACATAATCAATGGTTAAATGCTGAAATGGTCCTTCAGGAGTTGGAATGTGACCGGCGGGTGGGGTCATGCCCCTGCGAATGTTACTTTTTAGACATATTTCACAGTGACTAATTACATCGTCCACGTGCTGCTGTAGTTTTGGAGCCCAGAAGTTCCACTCCCTTATCTTCCGCAGCACTTCTCCTCTCGACTCATGAGCCAACCCATGAGCCTCGTTTATCAACAGGGGCAATAACCCGGTGGGTGCAGCAAAGAGCCCTTCATGGTTTCTCCAAAGTCCTTGCGAATCCTTAGAGGCTCCTCGCTGCAGCCACAACTGTCGCTCTGCTTCTGAGACCTCTTCTTGTAACAACAGTAGATCCTTGTGTGTTAATTGTTCTTCTAAGTCTATCATGTGAGTTACCATTATGGCATGAGCACCTGCCGAAGCTGCTTGCTTGGCTGCCTCGTCAGCTGCTGCATTGCCTCTCGTGATCCACGAGCTGTCTTTGCGATGAGCCGCACATTTTACAATAGCTATTGCTTTTGGCTTCATCATGGCTGTCAACAATCTCTTTATCTGATTACAGTGGTGGATTGGAGAGCCGTCTGTCTTCCTGAAACCTCTTCCTTTCCATGCCGCACCAAAAATATGGCACACACCGTGTCCATATGCTGAATCAGTAAAAATATTTACTCTCTTACCCTCTCCGAGCTCGCATGCGCTCGTCAGGGCCTTCAGTTCCGCTAACTGTGCAGAGCACGGCTGCTGGCAGGTCTCAGTTTGGACAACTTTTATAGCGCTGCCTTCCATACTTACAATGGCATACCCTGCTTTGAGTGCCGCCCCATCTCTGTAACAGGAGCCATCCACAAACAATGTCATGTCTGCCGACTCCAAAGGGGTTGCATTCAAATCAGACCGCAACTTAGTGTAATTTTCTGATTCAGTCACACAATCATGAGGCTCTCCCTCAAACGGTAGTGGGATTGAGTCCGCAGGATTTTTCACCTTACACACGCGGATTGTCACATCAGGATAATCTACAAGTAAATGATACTTTGTTAATCTTTGTGCCGTTAACACAAACTTTCCCTTTTCAAGTAGATTCACCAATTTATGATGTGTCATTATTTCTATGGGGTAACCCATAGTGAGCGCTGACGCTTTTTCGTATAGCAGGTGGGCTGCTGCCAGATTCTGGTAACATTCAGGTAGCCCCATCTCCACTGGGGACAATGCTACAGAGTAGTAAGCAATAGGTTGAGCGTGTGTCCCCACATTTGTTTTCTGGGTCAGCACCCCACAGGCATGATTTTGTCGGCATGAAATAAACAGTTGGAAGGGTTTTTCATAGTCTGGGAGGGTTAGCGCTGGGACCTGCTGCAACAAAGTCTTGATCCTTTCAAAAGCCATATAACCTTCTGGAGTCCAGATCACTTTTCCTCTCAGGTTTCCAGCCCCCTGTTCTTTAATCATTTTTCTCAGGGGCTGGACAACCAGGGAGTATCCCTCAACCCATTCTGAACTATACCCAGTCATCCCTAAGAATGTCATCATTTCTTTGACTGTTATTGGCCTAGGAGCCTGTGATATAGCCTCGAGCTGGGCCGGTGAGACTGATCGGGACCCCTCCCTTATCAATCTCCCCAAGCACTCAACTTGGTCTTGACAATATTGCAATTTCCCCAAGGACGCCTTATGTCCTTTTTCTGCGAGCATGGTCAGCAGAGTCACAGAATTTTTATGGCACGTTTCCAGATCAGGTGCACACAAAATAATATCGTCGACATAGCTAATTATGGTGCTGGACACTTGGCCTGACAGTTCTGCCAAATCTTCTCTCAAAATTTTATTGAAAATATGGGGACTTAGTTTTAGGCCTTGTGGTACCCGGCGGTAAGTATAGGATTGATTTCTGTATGTGAAAGCAAATAAATGCTGGCTTGAGGGACTTAATGGCACGCTGAAAAATGCAGAGCACAAATCAACCACAGTGAACCACCTTGCATCAGACGGCACATTTGTTAACAGTGTGTGTGGGTTTGGGACCTCAGACTGACAATCCTCAATCACTTCATTCAGGGCACGCAAATCGTGTACTAATCTGTATTTAATTTTGTCTGCTTTTAATATTGGCAATATTGGTGTGTTACTGCACGGGTTTGGCTCTTCCACCAGGACTCCAGCCTCCACAAGGCCTCGAATTGTTTTTTCAATTCCAGCCTCGGCCTCTGGTTTTAAGGGGTACTGCGTCTCCAAGGGGGTCTGCACCCGGGTTTGAGCTTAACCTCAACTGGCTGTGCTGTCTTAATAAGCCCTACGTTAGTGTCATGTTTAGACCACAATTCAGGTGGTACAACAGATAACATCTCTTCCTTGAACTCTGAGTGTTGCTTACAGTTTTCCAAGTGGCACGGGAGTCTGGTAACCTGTGGCTGAGCCCAACCCGATGAGATGTCTACTTTGATATATAACTTTCCTTGCTTAACCAAATGTTTTTGTTTTCAGTGCACATATAATCAGCTTGCATTGCCTCCTGAACCATAGGACCCAAATGCTTAACTTCATAGTCTGGATTTACTAACAATGTGACATGTGGAAGCTGTTCTTCACCTTAAACTCTTTTTCTAAATATGCACTGTTCTCAACAACCATTGCTGCTCCCTGTTTCCCTATTATGATTGAATATGCCTTAATCTGGACTCTACCTGGCTGTTTTCCGAGCCACTCCTCTGGACATGCTTCAGACTTATCTCTAAAAAATTGTAATGTGCAATGTGCATGAAGGTGGTGAAGCCTGGGCAGATTTGCTTTTATAAAGTCCATCCATGTGTTTGTGGGTTCCATTAAAGTCTGATCAAGATTTCCCAACCAATACCTAACTTCTTCTTCAGGGTTTAATGTCATTTGATAATGTGATGCTTCCACAATCACTCCATCCGGTGAGCACAAAATAGCACAGTTCAGCTTACATAACGCATCTCTTCCCAACAAGTTTATCGGGGTTTGCTCTGATATTAATACTGGCAGTTCAATAGTCTTTCCTTG